CTGGCTTGGCTTTTTTTGTCTCGTTGCATCTCTGCTTTTAGGCAGACATAGACAGCTTCGTGTTCTTCTTCGTGGAGGTTGAAGTTGGTTTTGTTCATGCAGCCACACAACCACACACTGTCTCATGTTTCGTCATTTTCATCTTTTTCGTTCGTCCATTGTCATTGTCCAAAAGTTGGTACTTTCGTTTTTTTCATTTTTATAGCATGTTGCAATTATTGTAGTAGATTGTAGAGTTAGGATTTAGATATTAGAAGTTGTTATACACGAGGATTGATATGCGGTGTATCAGTTTTGTTGTATCAGACGTCAAAAAATAGATTCAGCCTCTATCGAATGTCGATATCTAATATAAGCTGAATTCGTTTTCAATCAGTTCATGGTATTTTGAAATTCGATTTAGCACATTCTTCATTTTTTTAGTTATTTAATGTTTTATAAACTTGCTGTTTAGATTTTTTATTATTATAAAATATTTTATTTTATAAATTTTAAATTTTTTATGTTAATTATTTTTATGGTTGATAATATTTAATTATTTCATAGACATATTTTTTTTAATAAATAATTATTTATATTTTGATTAAATTTTGTTGTTCTTAATTATTTTATATTTCTTTTATAGTTTTTCAATTTTTATTTTAATTAAATTCTTATATTTTAATTAATGAATTATTTATATAAATATTTGAATTGATTTTATTTATTTTGAATGAAATAATTTAGTTTGTAAATATTTAATATTTATTTTTAACTTTTATAATTTTATAGAATGTAAAGTTTTTTAATTGTAATAATATATTAATGAATTAATTAAATTGATTACATTTTTTTGTTTTCAATTATTTAATGTTTTATTTGTTTTATAGTTTTTTAATTTTTTTTAATCTGAGAATTCATTCAATAAGAATATTCACCCATTTAGATTAAATCACCTATAACAAAACAAAAAAACTAATATAATAAATTCAACATTTATAATTAAATTATAAAATCATAAATTAATACAATAAGTTATACATTTATAAACTTTTAAAAAAACACTAAAATAATAATACTTAAATCTACCTAAAAAGTTATTTAAAATTTTTATATGAATTTGAAATACCAAACTTTTTTAATAAATTAAAAAAATTCATACAATTTATTTTATACAAAAAATTAACAAAATAAAAAACTAATACAATAAATTAAACATTTATAATTAAATTATAAAATCATAAACTAATACAATAAATTATACATTTCTAAATAATATAATAAACTTAAAAATAATTTAAATAATTATAAATATACATTTTCTATATATAAAAATTAAACATTTAAAATGATTTTTTTATATTAACAAAATTAAATAATTATAACAAAATACTGGTTTTAGTAATTAACTATTTACTCTATATATACACTATTATAATTACTAAGAATAAATAAATATCTTTATATATATATATATATATATATATAGATATAAATTTTTAGTCAACTTTCTGTTATATATTAAAATATTGCCTCTCATCTACATTTATATGTCAAGAAACAACAAAAAAATTAATAAATTACTTATTTTAAAATAAAATAATTTACATTATAAACAAACATATTCAAAATATATATTAGTAAACAGTCTTTAGAATTAAGTTAACGGTTTTATTTAATTTTTTATAAAACAAACCTTTTAATATTAAATGTTGTTATGATTAATTAATTATTGGGACAATAAAAAAGAAACAAATAACTATAAACATGCATTGGATATAAAAAATAAACACATAATGCATCAAATGTGAAAATCTGAAAGGGAAAAGTATCGGATTTTGATATCTGATTATAGGATATCAATAGAATATGTAGATATGCTATCTTTTCTTTTAGATTTTCATATATTCCATACATACATTTTCATATAAATTTTTATTTTTTATTAAATTTAATAAATTCATACAAATTAGTTTTTAATATTAAAAATTATCTAATTAAACATTTATAAATTTATACAAATTCATACAAAAATTTAAAATTTATAAATTTATAAATTAATACGATATTTAAAAAAGAAACTAATTAAATATTTTACAAAACCTATAAAAACGTGAATCAGATGTGAACATCTGAAAATTGCAACATTAATAATGTTGAAATCTGATTCTTCCTTCATCAGATATTGAAATACGATGTTGTGGTATTTCAGATTTTTATACCCTATTCATATTTTTCTCCAACAACAATGTGAAATACCAACACAACATCATCACCTGCTGCCTCCAACCTCCACGTCTCTAAGTTACCTCCAACACTTCCAAGCTGCCTCAAATAACCTCAACAAAAATTCTCTCAAAACACAACAAAGAGAAGCTCAAATAACCTCAACAAAAATTCTCTCACGACAAAGGAGAAGAAGAAGAAATGAAATGGAGTGTGCATAACTTAAAGAGATGAAATGTCAACACCCAATTTCGTCCAGGTAAGTAAATATTTAAAAAATAATAAAAAATAAGATAATAATAATTAATGGTGGGTAAAAAGGGATAAAATAATGACTTATATTTTTGAAATGTTAGTTTAATATGGTAATAATTTGAATTAATATTATGCTAATAATTATAAACAATAATTAAAATAGTATATTAATATAATTTGTTGCATGAGGAAAATATGATTTTCTGACAATAATGATAATCAATGTTTTGAATATTATTTAATTTGTTGTCTAGCAAATGACTATTTCTTTCCATATTTTGTTTTATTGTCAATTAATTCACAATTAAGACAAGATTTCCACAATATTATAATGTGTGTATATAAATACGCACTCTGTTATATAGAAAAGAAAGAGAGAGAAAGAAAGAGGGAGGGAGAAATATTTTGAAATTATAGAGATAGCATGAGTACTGAAGAATATAGAGAAAAGTAAGCTCTCAGGTTGGAGGAACTCTGCCAAGAGATTATCAAGGGAGAACTGGCAGAATACTGAAACCTAAAAGATATGTCACCTCTTTTTTCTCTTCTTATTGTACACTCTGAGGTTTTTTTCTAAAGGTTTGTTTTTTTTCTTACACACAAATATTATTTTCTTTAGAATCATAATTTTTTTTATAAGTATGTGTCGGCTTACGGCCGCTTTCTTTCTTTTTCCCACCATTTTTAAATAAATAAAAAATGCAAAATCTTCAAAACCAAAAAAGATGTCAATTTTGTTAAACCAAATCTTTTTCGGATTCACTTTTCAAAAATCTAAATCAATCAATAATAATTTTTAACAAACTCACAAACCTTTTTCTACATAAAGAACTACGTGATCCCTGATTGTCCATTATAAATGTATGTACGTAGGACCAAGGTCAATTCTTGTCGGATTCATAAAACAAAAAATACTTTTTTGTTTCTTAATAGCTTTATTTATTTATTTATTTTTTAGGGAAATTTAAACATTTTGAAAACCACGTCAACTTTATACATTTAGGCAGGCGCGATAGGGTGCTAATACCTTCCTTACGCGTAACCGATTCCCGAACCTGAAAATCTCTTTTCGTAGACCATGTCTTATTTTATGGTTTTTCATAGTTTTTCCATAATAAATTATGGTGGCGACTCCACAAATCTTATTTCTCAAACCCATTTGTTTTTTGGCTCGCCGTCTCGTCGCGATCCCGGGTACGACAGGGTGCAATTATAAGAATCTGTTATCAAGATTCAATCAACCTAGCACATGAGCCTACAACAAAAAATTCTTTGTGGGCCCCACATACATAACTAAAAAACATATACTTTAACACACATACTAATCTTTAAGTGAAAACAATCTTGCATTTTAGCTTTGGGCAATTTGTTTGATTTTATCTAGAGACGTAAACTATCTTTTATTTAGTTCCTTAATGATATATTGATCACTTTATTTGTAAAAATGACCTAGTCCAAAGTTGTTGTTTCAAACAATACCTAATGTTTAGGTAAGAGTAACTATTGATCAAAATAACAATGTTAATGAAAATGCTTTTATGTTCAAAGAATATTTAGTTTGCTTCTTAAAGTGTGAGTTTGTATAATAAAACTTAATCAAGTTGAGATTAGATGTAGTTTAGTCTATTAATGAACCAATGAAAAATCTAAAGCATAAATCATCATCTTTCTTTCACTATTTAAATTACATATTAAAGAAAATGATTTCTTTTTTCAAAGGTTTGCGAAAATATATTTAATAGTAAAAGTAAAAGTTATATAAAAACTGTGTTTGATTAATCATCGATGTTTACAACCTCTTCTTTTTATGACATCAAAATTTAAATTTCCTAAAGATTATAAATTTTTTAATACATATTTCAATTATCCTTTCTTTCATATTTAACCAGTTTTGAATTGTTTATAATTATATTTGGTATAAGAGCATATTATGTTGCATGTACCATAAATAAGACTAAGCGAAAACCAAGAAGCAATTTTATGAATTTGTAGTTGATATATAATTATTAGTATGATCATATGTAGTTAATATTCTTAATACGAAGAGACATATGATACTATCGTATGACTAGTCATACGTTACATTATGGACCATACTTTTATTTACTTAGACTCACATACTTTAAAATCATATAAGAATCATAAACTGAATTACGTGGCAAAAGGAAATAGACAAGTCAGTTAATGTTTTACAATTTTTAAGATAAAAAATACTGATTTACCTATTTTACCCATATGAAAGTATAAATTATGTTCTAAAAATACCATTTAAATCTTTTAGAAGGTAACTTGTAACAAATAGCAAATGCACAAGACAGTAAAAAATAAGAAAAATATTTTTTTAACGACTTTTTTTTTACCAAGTTTACATAACGGTGTAAACGTAATAGTGTGTGATTAGTTTATTTTAAATATTTTTTTAAAAATAAATTTATGCAGTAAATAATAACACATATTTTATTGTAAAAAAAAAATTGTTATAAAAAGTTGTTAGAAAATAAATAAAGACAGGGGCAGTCTAGGGTGCACCGATGCCATGTTGCCCCTGCAGGCTCAACCTGAAAAGGGAAGGGAAGGTAACCTGAAATTAATGCTTAAAATTTTGAAAAGAAAAAGAAAATGTTAGATTGGTAGCACACACTCTAAATATGGATGTCGTAACGTTCGGAATCATAGTGGGCATTATAATCCTTTTCTTAGTCATTGTTTGCTTCATCACAATCGAAGGCACTTGCAAGTCTCGCTCCTAATTCAACTCTATACTTACTTTCTCTTCTTCAATTCTTTCCGATTCCATGGCATTGGGTAAGAAGAGTGTGGATTATTTGGCATTCCTTTTCCTCTGTTTGGCTCTTCTATCGTGTTTGGATCTGGGAATAGCGCATCAGTCTCATTCCCATTCCCATTCTGGTTTCTGTGGATCCGATGCCCATCATCACTGTGAAGAGCACCATCACCATGACCATGACCATGACCATCACCATGCGCATGACCTTAAGGACAAGATTGATGGCAGGTCCAAGCTTCCCGAAGAGTTAGCAGAGGAGGAGGATATGAAGCTATACGGCTTCGGCTTTCCGCATGAACATGACCATCACGATACTTCAGAACTATCGGGTTTGGGTATGTTTACGGATTTTCACTCACGTCTTTCTCACCCTTCCGTTGTTTTTTTTTTCTTTTGTGTTTTCTACTGTGCGATAAGCCCTATTTGATGATTTCAACATTCGTAATTTCGAATGCACTCGTGTGAAGTAGGTCGGTGTGACTATTTGATTGCCAGATTAAGAGAATTAGATCTGTAGAAGCTTTGAGGGGAGATGTTGTCCTAGGTGATGTAGCTTTTACGTGCAGAGTGTGTAGAGGGTTTATAGACTGATGTAGAATGCTTTGTTGTCATTGTAATGTTGAAATGATGAAGCCTGTGCTTAGTGTAACTTAGGATAATTTTTTTAATTAAAATGATGCAATTGGGATTCAACAAATGTACCGCAGATACTTAAATAACATGTATAAAAGTCACCAAGTTAATTTCTTTGGCGGTAGATATTTCCCTACGAAACTTTGATTTTTTTTTTTGTTAATTTATGTTGTATCGCGTGGTTATTCAGTGAGAAATGACTTTATGGGATGAGGAACTACTAGCTGACCTCCAATTAGTGGAAAACTGTCTGTTTATCTCAGTTCTGTTATAGCAGATCGTTATGGTTTCACTTGTCCGACTGAAGTGCAATTGGATCAGTTCAACTTGAGACGCATACACTTTTTCAATACACATTGAAGTTGAATGCTCCTCTCCTCCATTAGATTGTGCATAGTTCTGTCTATTACAAGCAGCCTTCTTTTAGCTAACTTTTCATCTCAGTAACAGGAAAATAAAAGTCCCATTCATGGTTTTCTGGAAGGTTGGATATTCAGATTGTTTCGAATTTGATGTTTATGTAGTTCATTTGTTTTTGTTGTAGGCCTATGGTTGAATGCATTGGGCTGTTCATTTCTGGTGAGCATGGCTTCTCTTACATGCCTCATTGTCCTTCCTGTAATTTTTGGTAAGGAGATTTTTTATTTTTCATTTGGTACAAGTATAAATTATTTATTTCTCAATATGAAAGGCTTATTATGTACAGTAAACAAAACTGAATGGTCTGAATCATTCATCTATTTCAGTACAAGGGAAACCATCAAAGGCTGTTGTTGATTCATTGGCTTTATTTGGGGTCAGGTTTCTTCTACCTCTTTCTTTGGTTTCACTATCTTGAGTTCTCTTTTATTACTTTTCTTTCACTATGTTTATCAATTCTCTTCAGTTAAGTGTCTACTGTCTACTTTTTAAATTGATTGAAACTGGATCAGATCTAAGAAAGAAAAAACTGTATACGATGTATATTTATACTTCTAACTGAAGTCAGTATCAGCAATTCAGGTTAACAAAAAAAAA